GAGCCTTTCTTCCTCATAGAATGAGGAAGACAGGGCTTCCAAAAGACTGCATCTGCTCTTCTGCAAAAAAAAACAAAAACAAAAAAAAACAAAAAAACCACACACACGGAAGAGCAGACGTGGCCTGGACGCAGCAGAGTTTTTCCGGGATACCAGAGGTATCCCAGAAAATCCCTATAGTGTAGACACAGCCTTACAAGTACTGTCATATGGCAACTCCCCCCTGGGGGCATAGCACATGGTGGGTGCAGGGTGTGTGTGTGTGCAGGAATCAGGGCAGGGGGTTGGGTAGATGTGTGTAGGGTGGATTGGAGAAGCATGGGACTGCGGCAGTCCTGGTTGGTGATGCTGCAGCCCAGCATGTCAAGACTAGAGAAGAGTAAGGGCAGAACCAGACACAGAAGTAGGCAAAGTGGGAGCTAACAGGGGAAGCAGGACCAAGCACAGCTGCTGGTAAAAACACATTGAGCGGCCAATGAGCTCTGGCTATTGCTGGGTTAAACAGTATCTAGCTCAGCCCCACCACCAATTAGTAAGTTCATTTAATCAGGCAGGCCCTGTTAAGATCAATTGTGTCCAGTGTGTTGCTAGGAGACTGTCCCTGCTGCAGCTGGCTCTTTGGCACTCACTTAATCCTGAAAGAGGTGTGAACAAAATGACCTACTGGAGTAAACTTCCTTGCCTCAAATAATCCAATTGCAATGATGCAATTAATGTAATTAGCAAAAAACACACTCATGAATCAGTTCTCAGTGAGTTATACCCATTAATTTCAGTTTGATGGTATTTTTAAAATGCATTATATAATCAATAGTATGTTGTAAAAATGAGAAATCTTGTGGCACCAGAGAGACTAACAAAAATATATATAATATCATGAGCTTTCGTGGTCAACACCCACTTCTTCAGGTGAGTGGAGAAAAAAGGGGATCTATAAGAAAAAGTACTGAGAGGAAAAAAATGTACCTGTCATTAGTAGGTAATGAGGTTGCTAATGAGGCTAATTGAGTGAGCTGGAAGTGTCCCATACTCAGCTTTTGATGTCAATGATGTGTTAAATATAAGGAAGGCTGGTTTTATAATAGGCCATCCAGTTAATGTCTTTGTTTAGGCCAAGGGAAACAGTATCAAATTTGTGTCCGAAGGTCAATTCCGCACTCTCTCTCTCTCTGTAGCTGGCTTGTGAAATTGCTTTGTAGAAGAATGGCTGTTTAAATCTATTAACGAGTGCCCAGGCAACTTAAAATGTTCCCCTACAGGTTTTGAACTATAAAACAAACAAATAATTAAAACAAACTCTATCCTTATCCTAGGATTCATTAAATTCACATGAGATCTAAACAGGGTAGGTTAAAGAGGACTAAGTTTTGTTTTACCTGATCGTGCTTGCAATTATGCAAGTGCTTTTTGCATATGAGTGTATTTCTCAAAACTCCCTCTTTTCATGGGTCGTCACTCATTTGACTCATAAAGTTAGCTACGGTCCATATAAATAGTATGTCCCTGTCCCCTTATTTTTAGTCTTGACAATTATTTGCATCTGAAATAAAGAATCATAAAACTTGCGTTACAAAATTTGTTTTTTAAAAATGGAATCCCTCAATATTTCGCATTTCCTGCAGGAAAATGCTTGTGGCCCTGTCACAGGGGGAGTATACCCAGCCGCTTCGGGGGCAGGGTGTTGAGTTTGTCAGGACCCTCAACATGTGCTCCACACATGCTCCACAGGTCACAACCCCTTCTAGCCCAAGGTCTCAACATAAATCCCTGCACCCCAATTCCCTGCCCGAGGTCACAACTGCCTCCTTCACCCAAACTCCCTTCCAGACCCCACATCCCCTCCTGCACCCCAATCCCTTACTGCAAACTCCTTTCTGCACTCAAGCTCCATCCCAGACCCCACTCCTCCTCCATTAACATCATGGAAAAGTGCAGCCCTTGACCACTTTCCAAAATCTTGGCATGGCCCTCCATCAAAAATTATTGCCCACCTCTGCCCCATACTGACATCCACCTAAATCAGGGGCAGGCAACATATGGCCCATCGCTCAGATCCAGCCCACCAAGCTGGCCTCCCTGCAGGGACGCTCAGGCACAGAAGCAGCCCCCGGCCACTTTAAGCAGCTGGCTGCTCCCTGTGGGTCTCTGCTCTGGGACCTAGGGGCAGAGGAAGCTTTGTGTCACATCCCCCATCCTCAAGCAAAGTCTCTCAGCTCCCATTGGCCAATTTCCAGCCTATGGAAGCTGAGAGATTTTGTTGGGTGGGCAGGGAGCATTGCACAAAGGTTTCTCCTTGCTTCCCCCCGTGCCTAGAGCAGAAAGCCACAGGTAGTAGCCAACTGCTTTGAGCCTCAGGGTGCTGCCGGGTTGGTGGCTTGGAGCTGCCTAGGTAAGTGTCTCTCAGCCACAGCCTGTCTCTGGCACCCCACCCCCTCCCTGCACCAGATCACCACTCAAACCTTCTGCACCTCATTCCCTCTCTCCTTCAGGTCACAACTCCTTCCCAGATCCAGCACACCCTCCTACACCTCTCCCTCAGGCCAGAATCCTCTCCTGCACCCATATCCTCCCTGGACCCTGCACCCTAATCCCCTGCCCAAGATCACAACCCCCTCCTTCAGACCCCATACCTTCTCCTGCACCCTAATCCCCTATCCTGAGCTTCCTTCTGTACCTAACCTTTATCCCAGCCCCCACATCTCCTCCATAGAAACAGCAGCCCTTGACCACTTACCAAAATCTTGCAGTGACCCTCAATCAAAAATTGTCCACCCTCACCTATATCCCCCCACCAGCTACCAAAGTCCTCTCTGGTGCTCTTCTATTGAGCTCTGTCAGAAATATAAAATCCCTGCTATATTTATCCCATAATTCCTCCTTCCAACCAAGAACTGGACAAAATTTAATGTTTTGCCTGTTTGAGATTCACGCTTTTCCCCTGCTCTTTCATTATTCAAGATTCTATGCTGTCTAAATATTGTTCATTTGCAGTTTCAAACTCTTATTTTTGCACTGGTTTTCATGTTTTCTATGTAAAAGCCAGATTCACTACTCAAGAAAGGGCCTGATATGCTCAAAAGAAGCCCATTTTTAGTGGAAAATAGGGGTATTTTTTTCACCAAAAAAAGTTAACAACAATTGCAAAATATAGTTAGTTGGTAGGTTGCTCAAGCTAGGGCTAGTCTTTCCTGGTCTATTTGTACAACCTTTAGCACAATGGAGTCCTGCTTCCAATTGGTTCTTCTAGTTACTAATACAAGTTACAGATACATTCTCTATGGCTACTTCTACACTGGCATGATTTTCCGGAAATGCTTTTAATGAAAAAGTTTTCTGTTAAAGCATTTTTGAAAAAGAGCGTCTAGATTGGCCATGGACGCTTTTCCGCAAAAGCACTTTTTGCGGAAAAGAGTCCGTGGCCAATCTAGACCCACTTTTCCACAAAAAAGCCCTGATCACCATTTTCGCGATCGGGGCTTTTTTGCGGAAAACAAATCTCTGCTGTCTACACTGGCCCTTTTGTGCAAAAGTCTTTCGGAAAAAGACTTTTGCCCGAACGAGAGCAGCATAGTTTTTCCGCAAAAGCACTGACAATCTTACCTGAGATTGTCAGTGCTTTTGTGGAAATTCAAGCGGCCAGTGTAGACAGTGTGGGAGAAAAATCAAATAACTCCAATTGTGTCTAAGGGAGGACTGTGCAGGAAATCAAAACTCTCTAAAAGAAAACTGCTGTAAGGGTTAAAAGTTTTCCAGGCCTCTCTCCCTGTAACAGAGAGAAATCAAATTAACTCTAATCAAGACCCTTACAATGCCTATCTCAAGTTCATGGATACTCCTAGTCTGTCACAATTTGTCATGTAAACCCTTATCTTTGTCACAGTTTGCCTTGTAGACTCCTCCACTCAAGTTCTCATGTGGCTTTGTTCTGTAAAACTTACTTCTAGCACTCCTGGTGTGAACAGAAAGTCTCAGAGTACTTCTGCTGAGACTTTGATATGTTAAAGAAAACAATCAACAACTAAACTGTCTGAACATACTGTATAAAGGATCCCTGAACCTGTCTCTCAATGCTGGCTGCTCTCACTCTGGTAGCGGTCAGCCTGCATGCATGCATAATAAAGTTTTCCTTCTAGGTTTCTCTCCTGCCTCACTGCTTTGACCTCCAGCCTCGGACCCTTCTGGGGGCTCTGTACCCCAGGGGAGCGAGATTTCCCCGACAACAGCTGGCAAGTTTTTCCGCAAAAGCAGATGATTTTGCGGAAAAACTTGCCAGTCTAGACACAGCCTATGAGTGCATGAGTAACCCACATACCTAGTGGGTGTGCTGACTGTCCCATGTAGTGGCATTTAGACCACTTACAGCAGAGAGATAAGAATGAGTGAGCTCTGCAACCTGAGCTAAGAGCTAACTTTATAACTCAAGTTGTAGAGCTTTCTACATTATGCTCTAGAGGTCCCTGGTTCAAATCTACCTGCTGGTGTTTACAAAGGGTCCTTTGAGTTGCATTCATAATACAATGTAATGAAAGTAGATTTGCATTTTGATAGGAATATTTCATGCGCCTCTACTCAAAATCAGTGGGGGCTGCCCAGCTGAAGCTCAGCATGCTGCATGCCTCCACTGCAAATAATAGCAAGAGTACCCTGCTCTTCACTAGCTGGTAAGGAAGATCATTCTGGGGTGGGCAGGCCATGATAGCTTTAGGGTAGACCAGGAAAGGGGCTGTAGATCGTGGTTGGTTTGTTTTCTAGAACCAGTGGCCTAGTATCCCATGCTGGGAGCACAGAAGTAGTGGCCACTATTTCATAGGCTGGGATAGCATAGCACCTGTAAGGGCAGGGGGGGACTATGTGGGAGCTTCATGCCCTGGAAATGGCCTCAAAAGGGGAGAGGGGTTCAATTCTTCAGGCTCCCTGAACTCCTCTTACTTAAGCCTGAATATTTGGACTCTGTGGCTGTGACTAGATTACATCCTTTTCTCAAAAAAGGGATGTAAATTAGACACTTTGAAATTGCAAATGAAGCCAGGATTTAAATTTCCTGTGCTTCATTTGCATAATGGCGGCCGTGGTTTTTTTCGAAACAGGGCTTTTCGAAAGAAAAATGGCCATTTTGACAGGGATCAATCGAAAATAAAACCCTTTTTCGGAAGATCCTGTACAAGGAGTGTTAGAAGTACAGGATCTTTTGAAAAAGGGTTTTATTTTTGATCAATCCCCATCTAAACGGCCGTTTTTCTTTCGAAAAGCCCCGTTTCAGAAAAAAAATGCGGCCGCCATTATGCAAATGAAGTGTGGGAAATTTAAATCCCGGCTTCATTTGCAATTTCAAAGTGTCTAATTTACATCCCTTTTTCGAGAAAAGGGATGTAATCTAGAGACAGCCTGTGTGTGAAGCTAACTTCAATCTTGAATAAAAAAGATTTTGATGTGGCTGCAGTGATGTAAGCAAGAGGCAAATTTGTCTCTAAAGCTTCAGCTTCCAAACAAAGGGCATTCCCTAGCACATGCCAAGATGTACAGGCAGGAAAGCTGGATTTAATTATGCTTTGTGGGGTTTAGCATATTTTAATAAACACAAGGTAGAAGGGCCAGTTATAAACAGTTGTGTCAGAAGGTAAGAATGAATAAGTCCCCAAGAGAACAAAAGATCTGAAGAATTTCTCATAAATATACAACCCTTAGGATTTGAATGTGCTGCTTACATTTTCAATATAATATAAACAGTTTACTAAGCAACCAGGCTAAAAGAGTTTTTTAGTACTAGCTATTGGGATCTATATATGTTAAATTAGCTTCAGGAGGGTTTTCCTATTAATTCCTGAATGAAATCAAAACTAGGGATGTAAGTGACTAGTCAAGTAGTCAATTACCCAATAAGCCTAGGCTTCTTGGGTAGTCAAGTCACTATTCATCTAGTCACTTCTCCCACCCTTGCTGCCTCTATTAGAGGCAGCAACATGGGGGAGCAAGAACTGGTGTTAGAGGAAGCTGGCTTAAAAGCCAGTTCTCCCCAGCACTGGCTCTGCAGGGGGTAGGGGAGGCAGAGGAGCAGCGGGGGACTGGGTGCGAGCTGGGACAGTTGAGTCCCGGCTTGCATCCAGTCCCTCACTGCGCCTATGCTTTTAAATGTAATAAAAGCGCGGGAACCCGCTGCAGCTCTGCATTTTAAACGAAGTAAGAGCCTGGTGGCCATGCTCTTACTACATTTAAAAAGCATAGGCGCAGCAGTTTGCCCCCTTATTGACTAATTGAGTAGTCAATGGAAATTTCATTGACTACTCGATTAGCTGATTAAACACAATTTAATATACTTAATCAAAACATATTTAGTATTATAGCTAAAAATAATTTAATTATCTAGTATAAAGGGTAGAATTCAAAAAACCCTCTAGTTCATATGAAGAGCTCCATGTTCACAAAATATTGTAAATTATTCTTTCCTCCAAGAAGTGAGATGACGAATAAGAACAAGAATTTTACTGTATTTTAGCTGAACACTACTCCAGAAATAGGGCACATGGTTAACTGTATGTGATG